TCTAGTAACTTGTAGGTTACTAGACGCTTTATTTATTTTAATTCTACCGTCTAGTAACTTGTATGTTACTAGATGCTTTATTTATTTTAATTCTACTGTCTAGTAACTTGTAGGTTACTAGACGCTTTATTTATTTTAATTCTACTATTTAGTAACTTATAGGTTACTAGACGCTTTATTTATTTTAATTCTACTGTCTAGTAACTTGTAGGTTACTAGATGCTTTATTTATTTTAATTCTACTATCTAGTAACTTGTAGGTTACTAAATACTTTATTTATTTTAATTCTACTATCTAGTAACTTGTAGGTTACTAGACGCCTTAATTATTATTATTTGCTATTTTTTTTTCCTAATTTCGTAGCCTGCTGTTTAAAACAAGTTTGCTTTTTTAAAATTTATATTCTAAATTTTTAAACAACTTCTCTACGCAATAAAAATTATAAAAAAAAAACTACTACTTTTTAGGCACTTTATTTCTATCCCTTTTGCTAACTTACTTAGTTTAAGCAGTTAGCTTTTTTAATTTAAGTAGCTAATACTACTTATATTAAGCAAGTAGCTTTTTTAGCCTAAGTAAGTGCTTAAAACGCTTTAAAAGTTTAAGTAAGCATTTTTCTACCTAGTTTAAGAAGTTAGGGCTTTAAACTTATAATACTCTCCCTTTTTTTTACTGCAGACTTTGCTGCTTTTTAATAAATAGGGAAAATTATATATTTTATATTTAACTAAGCTAGCGGCAGGCTTACGCTTAGTAGCTTGTAATAATAAAGCTACTTAACTATTTATATAACTTAGCTAAATAACTAAGTTATCTGTAAAAAATTTAATCTTATACACTATATAATTGTAATACGCTAGCTAGCAGCCCCAACTTTAATAAAATTACTAATACTAGCCTAGTAAAATTCTAGGCTAAAAGCCTATTTGTATTTAACTAGTATAGGCAAAAATTACTTTATTTTAGTATAGATTCTAATTTAGAAGTATTTAGCTATAATCTAGCAGATAGTAGCTTTGTAGCAATGCCTAATTAGATAGCTGCAAAAACTAATTATTTAAAACTATAGTTTTTTTTGTACTAAGCAGTATTACTATTAGAGCAAAATTATTAGTAGAGTAAAACTAACTTATTTTACAATAGTCTAAACCTAGCTTATATTCCCTATTAGTAAGTAAACAATCTAATGCTTACTAAATTCTGCTTTAGTATAATAAAAAGAGCTAATATTAAAAAATTAAAAAGTAATATTGCTATAAACACTTAGCTGCTACAAGCTAGTTATTTCTATAGTAACTTTTCTAGCACTTCTAGCCTTAAATTTTAAAAGACTAAAGAATTAATAAGCTATACTTTTATAGTTTGTATTTATACTAAAAATTAAAATTAAAAAAACTTTTGCCCTTTTGCTTTACTAGAAATTTCTATTTTTTATAAATTTTTTTTAAAACACTTGCGTTATAGTTTAACAAATATGCCGCCCTAGCTAAACTTCCTATTTAATAATATTTTTAACTTAGATTAGCTTATAAAAAACTTTAATACTAGAAGTTAAGCAGTAAAGCCTAGCTCTGCTTTATTAAATAAGTAAAAAAATTATAAAGGTAGTAGTATTTTACTAGCGCCAAAGCTCCTACTTATTCTACACCTTTTATATTTTTTTATAATATTAAACTAGAGTTAAGCTCAACAAAGTTTTTTTTTTCTACTAATTTAGCTAAGCCTGTTCCCTTAGCTATAGTTTTGCTAAATAGTAAATAGAAATAGTAGAAATTTTATTAATTTATTTATGCGTGTTACTAATTAGATAATAAAGTATTTAACTACTTTAAAAAAGTTATAGTTACTTCTGCTATTTACTTGCGCTTAGTCAAATCTTTTTGCTTTAATATTTAAAATACTAGGCAGAAATTATATTATATTAATACTACTTTCTAGCTATTATAATACTATGTTTTAATTAGATAGTTAAATTTTTTTTATTTGTACTAGTTCTAAATTAGTTATTAAACGCACGCTAGACAGCTAAAGCCTGCTAAAAGTGCTTATACTTTAGCGCTAAAAAGTGCTTACTTTGCGGCTAGTACTTTTCTGCGCTAGAAGTTTTTCCCTAAAGCTTAATATACCTAACTTTTAGAGCTAATTCTTTTCTTAAAGTTATAGATTTATTTTGCTAACTTCCTTTATCTATATTATTTTATTAACTAGAAGCTTTTTACTTTAGAAACCTGCTATAGTTATAAATACAATTTAGTATAAAAACTATTTTTTTAAGCAAATTTTTAAAACTTATTAAAAGTGCACTAAATGCTGCAAAAGTATAGTACTTTTCTAGCTATTAAACCCTAGCTCCGGACAAATTAATTTTAGAGTAATAAATTATTAAAAAAAAAAGAGAACTCTTTTTAGAACTTTTGCTAAAGTTTTTACTCTTAATTGCATTACTGCAGAAAATCTATATTTAAATACTAGAATATTAACTAGCTTCCCTTTTAAGGGCGCGGCGCAAGCGCTAATATTAAAATAAAATTACTCTATTTTTTAGAATTAATTAACTTATATCCAACTACTATTTATATAAAACTTTTCTCTACTTTAGTTCTTAAAGTTTTTATTTAAATATTTGCTACTACTACTAAAATCTGCACTAAAAACTATTTAACCTAAAGTTATTTTTAAAGCTTTATTATAAGCTTTTATACCTGCTTACTTGCTAGGGCTTAAATCTTGCCTTAGTAGCAGGGTATAAGTAACACGCTTAAGCGCTATTTATTTTTAAAGCTAGTTTATTTAGTAAGTAAATTATTACATACTTTTTAGCAAATTCTAACTTCTATAGCTACTGTCCTGCTGTCTAGATAAACTAATACCTTTTGTAGTATTTAATAAGTATATATTCTAGCACTTTAACCCTGCGTTTAGTTTATTCCGCATTACTAGTTCTGCTTACTAAAAATAGCCTACTAGTAACAGTATATTTAAGTGTTTATATTTAATTAAGTAATAAGGACTTCTTATATATTTAAAGTTTAAAAATAGGTAAAAATTGTTTTAACCCCTAGGCTTCTAATTATTTGCTTTACTTTATAAAACTAAATATATTACTACTATTTTAAAAGAAACTTTAGTAAAAACTAGCTACTAAATAGTTTAATTAGTTTTTTGCTTTTATGCCCAAATTTAATAATTAATTTGCACATTAAAACTGCTACAAGCCTCTACTAGAGTTTTTTCTAGTTTTACCCTATTTAAGCATAGTTTACTATTTTTTAAGTTTTAATAGCTATGCTTTTACTTAAATTTATTTAAAAATATTAGGATTAGTTAATAGTACACTCTAAAAAAAATCCTACTTCTATTTACTTTTATTATGCGTTTGGGCTTAATACCCAAATACTTGTATAAATATTAGATTTTTTAGTTTATATTTTAAAATAGGCTACTTATAACTATTATACTAGCATTTTAGTAAATGCGCAGACTTTAGTCTAAACTAGTTGTATATTGCTTTTTCTATAAGGCTTTTCCAAAAGGAAGTATATAATAAAAGCTTTTATTTAACTATTTAAACTAATACTAATTTATCTGCAGAAAAGTGTACTAAGTAAAAGCCTAAATAAGTAACTATAGGCAAGTCTAGCTATAAGCGCTTCCTTTTTAATAATTTTACGTACTATTTAACTTTCTTTTTAAAGTGCTTTTTATTTTTTAATTACTCTACTTGTGCGCTATTAGTTTCTAGCTAGTATTTAGCTTTAAAAGAAATTTACTTTTTATTTAGAGCTGCATTCCTAAATAATTTAACTTATTAAAGGGGCTTTATACAGCAAAAGTTAGTAACTATATATAGGATTTTTACTTTCTATAATATCCTGTTTTAAGGAACTTAAACTACTGCTAATACTAAAGCGCTTTTTACAAATTACAACTTAAACCCTAAAAGAGCTAGATTTTAAATTTAAGCTAATACTGCTTTACTTGCTATTACTAGGGCAATCCCTATTAATTTTTTTTTTTTCTGCTTATTAATATACTTAAGTTTAGCAGGTATTCCTACTTAATCTAAAGTTAAGAGCAAAAGTATAAGCTTTGTAAATACAAGCATTTAAGCTAAAAAACGCAAAATATGCTGCGCTTTAAAGCAAGTACGCTAGCTACTAATTACTTTAAAATAAGTTTTGCGCATAAAATAAAAACAAATACCTAATATTAAATAGAGCTTAAAAGTACAAATAACGCTTAAATAAGCATGATTTATAGAATACTAAAAAGCGCAATATGCGTTCAAAAATTCGATAATTTACTAAATTTTGCAATTTATACTACTTTTCGCATTTTGCTGCGTTCTTTATTAATACTAAAACTAAAAAATCTATTATTAAAAGTTGTAATTATTATGTGTTTTCTAATGCTAATTGCAATTACAAAAAGTTTTTATAGTATTCTATTAGCAGGCAGAGCCTGCCAAAAAAATAAATAATATACAAAAAATAAAGGTTTAAACAGGGACTAAAGTCTTCCTAAAAATTAGTAATAATTTTTCTGTAGGTTTACTTATAGAAACTTTATTATAACTTTTACTTCCTTTAAATAACTAAGTTTAATAAACTTTCTAGCTTAAAGTAGTTATTGCTAATTTCCCCAAGCTAGTCTAAAGGCTTTACTAAGCTATTTAATTAGTAGTAGCAACGGGCGGTATATATAAAAGGTAGAAATATAATTAATGTATGCTAATAATACACGCTTACTAGGCATTCTTTATTAAAAAGTAATAATTGCAATATTCTATCTCTAGTACAATAGAGTTTAATAAAATTACCTAAACTTTTTAGCTAAAATAAAAAACTTATTAGCTTTATTAGTATAGCGCGCGTGCGGCCTAGAATATTTAAAAGTATTATAAACTTATTATTGCTTTAAATTTCTATTAGTTTAAACTAATAGTTTTTCTAAAAAGCTAGCAACTAGCTAAAGCTAGCCTAGCTATTTAGCAAGTTAAAGTTTTATTTGTTATTGCAATTAAGTAAATAAATTACTTTACTAACTAAAAACAGCTATGCACTACTACCTAAAAAATTAAAAAAAAGCTTTTAATCTATTAATCCTTATTTTATCTAAACTTAGTAAGTTTCCTTATATTAAGTTAAATTAAGCTGCAGGCTTTACGCCTAGTAGTACCTTTTTATTAATTTTTTTAAGTTTTAGCTTTGCAACTATACTCTCTCTAGAACCTAAAAACTTTAATTTCTCGTAAAGTGCTAAGCAAGTTAAAAAAAAAAATATTGCCCAATCTTTAGTTAGTATAGTTTACAGTTAAAACTACAATAGTATTTAATTATTTTTAATCCTCTAACTTTTATTTACTAATTAATAAAAATATTCTTAGTAAATACTTTTGCAGTAGTTAGTTTTTAATAAATCCAAAAATTTTACTTCTAACAATTAAATACTAATGCCCCCAACTATTCCTATTAATTATTATAGTAGTTTTAAAAACTAACAAAATAAAACTGTATATTCTATTTTATTATTCTATACTAATATATTTAAGCAAAGGCTTACTTTAAATATTCTAATTTTTTCAAAGTAAAAGTCCTAGTCCCTAATACGCCTAGTAAAGGGCATAAAATTTTCTAAAAAAAAAGCCTAGCTAAACAAGTACACGCAGTAAAGTAAACCTACTAGCTAAACCTAAGTTTTAATTACAAGCTTTTTAACTGCAACAACTTTAATATACGCTATTAGAACTAGAATTACTGCAGCTGCTAGCACTAAACTTGCCCTCCAATTATTCCTTATTAAGAAGTTTAAATTATACTTATTTTAATTACAAAACTTAAAAAAGCCCTGTATTAGTATTTATTATTACTACTTTTCTATATTAGAATTAAGTAATTTGCGCGCCTACTACTTTCCTTAAATATAGTAGCTGTTTTTTAAGCTCCTTTTCTAGAATTAAACTCTAATTCCCTATTACCCATTAAAACTATAGTAAGCTAATACTTTACTATTAAAAATTAATAAGGCAGAAATTTAAATAAACTATTGCTGGCGCAAAGCTATACAATTTGTAAAATTATTATAAATTACTAAAAAGCTCCAAAAAGCGTTAGTTTTTTATTTAATAAATATATCCTTTTTAAAGTTAGAGTTTTTAGCATATATTAGCTCTAGAATTACTATAATTATCTAAGTAGTAAAGTACTATTAAATAAACAATAACTAATTTAATAAGCTATTTGCAGTTTTATAGTATAATTACTTATACTTAAATATATATAGCTTAATTTTTAAAACAAGCATATAACTACTAGCAGAATTAACTAGGTAATAATCCTATATTTAGGCGCACAAGGCATGCAGGCACAAATTCCCTAAAAAAAGTAGAAAGTACTAAGCAAGTAGCTGCACAAAGCAGTGCTAGCTATTTATTATAAAAGTATATAAGGCACTAATACTGCAAGCAACTAATTTAGTTACTCTTACTAAATTTCCTAAAGTGCGGTCTAAAATAGGGCATTACTAGTATTACTACTAAAAAAAACCCGCACTATATATACTTTAGAAAAAAAAAACTTATAATTGCTTTATTATGCACGCAAGCGCGGATATTTAGTAGAAGTATTTTTAGAAATTTAATAAATAGTTAGCAAAGCTAGCTATTTACAAACTCTAAATAGTACCTATTTATAAAAATAAATAGGACTTTAAGTATTAACTGTAAGAATAAGTGCAGCGCTAAGGCGTTGCTTTGTAATATAGGCCTTAGCTAACCTAATTAGGCAGAAAATAGCTGCCTAGCCCTTAATATTATACTAATTAGAGTAAATATTACTAGCTAATATTTAGGAAATAGGGCGTGTAAATATAAAACTATAAATACGCAAGCTGCTTACTAACAATACTTAAGCTATTACTAAAAAGTAGTAGAAAATAAATATAAGCAAAATAGTTTTTAGGCTACTTTTTTTATACTATGCACTCTACTAATAGCTAGCTTTTAAGTATAAAGAGCCCCTAAAAGCCTCTTCTATGCGCAAAACTAATAAGTACTAGTATATTTATTAATAAAGCACTTTGTAGCAAGCAGATTAATTTAATTAAGAGCTTATTATTACTACTGCAAAAAAGAAAAAATAGGCAGAAGGACTAGTATGCTAGCTCTATTTTTAGGCAGAAGCTTATTTTATACTTTATTACTAACTATTATTTACGCTTTAACGCCCTTAAAACTTACTGCAAATAGTAGTAAATAAAATAGTTATATTTTTAGAAACTTTAACTGCTTTTTTTATATAATATATAAAAGTAATTAACTCTAGTTTTTGCGTTGCAGAGTAGATGTAGCAGAAAATATATTAAAGCTTAGGTTTTTACTAGCAAAATCGCAGAAATATGCGCAGTGCTATATAAATTATAAACTTATATTTGCTAACTTACGCGATATAGTTGTTTTTATTTTCTAGAAAATATTTTTAGTTATAGGGAGTATAGA